CTGTTGTTAGTTCACCTTTTTTATTTCTGATTGAGGTTATGGAGATCTTGCTTTTCTGTTTCTCATTAGTCTGGCCAACAATTTATTGATTTTATTAATCTTTTGAAAGAACCAACTTTTTGTTAGTCTGATTTTCTGAATGATTCTTGTGTTTTTGATTTTATTTAATTTTGCACTTATTTTGGTTATTTTTTTTCTTCTGCCAAGTTTGGGATTGAGACAGACCATTAGATCGTTGACTTCCTCTCTTTCTGTTTTCTTAATGAAGACATCTAATGCTATAAATTTGCCTCTTAGGACTGTCTTTGTAGTATCCCACAGGTTTTGATGGCTTGTAGCTTCCTTATTGTTTTGTTCAAGAAATCTAATGATCAGGCGACCTCCAACTACAGCTGGCGGGCCACATACAGCCCACCTAGGACATTTATCCGGCCTGCCGGGTGTTTTTGCTGCCGCTGCTTGTCCTGCTTAGCCAGGGCCGCAGTTTGACCCTCCAACAGTCTGAGGGACAGTGAACTGGCCCCCTGTTTTAAAAGTTTGAGGACCCCTGCTAATGACTTTCTTACTCATCCTTAATGTATTTGTTCAGCGTAAGGTTATTTAGTTTCCATGACTTTATGTGGGAATGAAGATTTCTGCAGGTGTTGAGTTCAGCTTTTATTCCATGATGGTCTGAGAAGATACAAGGAATAATTTCTATTGTTTTCAATTTGTTGAGGTCAGATTTGTGCCCTAAGATATGATCAATTTTGGAGGATGATCCATGGGTTGGTAAGAATTTGTACTTAGTTTTATTGTGATGAAATGTTCTTTATATGTCTGTTAAGTCCATTTGTTCTGAGGTTTTGTTTAAGTCCATTACTTCTTTGTTCAGTTTCTGCTTATAGGATATGTCCAGTTCTGTCAGGGGGAGATTGAAATCTTGAACTATTATGGAGCTGGAAGATACCATACTGTTCAAGTTATTTAGGTTCATTTTAAATATCTAGGAGCATTTAGGTTGGGTGTATCAGTGTTAATGATTGAAATCTCTTCATGTTGTATGCTTCCCTCTCAGTATGTATTGTTCATCATTGTCTTTCCTTATTTTTGTTGATTTAAATCCATTTGTTCTGCAAATAAGATTGCAATCTCTACTTTCTTCTGATTGCCATTTGCCTATAATATTGTTTTCCATTCTATTCACCCTAAGTCTTGTTATCTTTAGAGGTTAGGTGTGTTTCTTGGAGAGAGCAGATAATTGAGTTTGAGCTTTTGTATCCAGGCAGACAGACTGTGTCTCTTTAGAGAACTCAAGCCATTCACCCGTATTGAGAGAATTGATAGGTATAGTAGAATTTTGGTCTTCTCATTTTGTGGGGTTCTGGTGCTTAGTTTTATCCCTTGGGTCATTGTGGAAGCGAAGCTTTGTTCTTTAATTTCTAGATGTTTTTACTTTGGCAATGGACCATTGTACTGGTCAGTATGAAGATTGGCTGTGAGTACTTTTTGTTAAGATGGTCTAGCTGTGGCAGATTTCCCCAACATTTGCATGTCAGTAAAATATTTGATTTCTCTGTCACATATGAAACTCAGTTCAGTAGGATACAGGATCCTGGGCTGGAAATTGTTTAAGAAGGTTAATGGCCAATCACCATCTTTTGGCTTGAAAAGTTTCAGCTGAAAGGTCTGCTATCACCCTGATATTTTTCCCTTGGTAGGTAAGACTTATCTTATGTCTGGCTGCTTGCAGGATTTTCTCTTTTATACTGATTATGGCAAAACTAATTACAATGTGTCTAGGAGATGCTTTGTATCATGCAGGGTTTCTGAAACTATTATCTGAATTTCTGTGTCTGTAGCAATGCTTGGGAAATTCTCCACCATGGTGTCTGGGAGTAGAGCATCAGTGCTTTTTTTTTTTTTTATTTTGTAGTTTTTGGCCAGGGCTGGGTTTGAACCCACCACCTCCAGCATATGGGGCCGGCGCCCTACTCCTTTGAGCCACAGGCGCCGCCGGAGCATCAGTGCTTTTAGGACCATCCTCTTCAGGAATCCCTATAATTTGAATGTTTGGTCTTTAGAGCTTGTGCTTGTTGCCCTTCTTCCACAGCATTGCTAAGCTCCTTTGCTAGGCTACAACTCTGAGGGCGGGCCTGTGAACAAAAAAGTGATTGTGTCCTGGTGTCAGCCTAGTGTCCCCCAGTTTAAAGGAGCTGCTGTTATTTTGCTGGAGTCCCTGCAGCAAAGATGGGGATTGCTGCCGTCTCCCACTGGTGACAGCTGGAGGAGGTGAATCCCAGGACAGACCCACACAACACCAAGTCCCCTTGGTACAAATAAATTTAAATTAGCTGTGAACTTGTGTCTCTCCACTCCCCTTCCCCAGGTGAGGCTCCTGGTGGTGGTATTGGTAGGGGGAAGTCTGCCGACTATTCCAATTATTCCCACTCCAGCTTTTGAACATTCCTTATGCAAACAAGTTTGGAGAAGCTGTGGGTGGTCCTCCCCCCCCCCACTAGCTTTGGACTGGATACAATGTAGCTTGAATACAATGTAGCCCTCACCTACAGCTGGGGAGGAGATCTGGTTTTTGGACCTTCCCAGGTGGGGTCACCAAAGGCTAGGCCTGTGTCTCTCCAGGCAGGAGGGGAGCCTGGGGTCACAGACACAGGTCACAGGCACAGACACTGGGCATGACCCCTCCAGAAGGCAGGGGAAAGGTCCCCACTAGCAGGAGTGAGACCACACCACAAGAGTGGAGTCACAATTTCCTCTTGCAGTTGGGGAGGCAGTATGCACTTAGCTTAGCAGCCCACACCATGCAGAGATCTCTCAGAGATCTCATCAAACTCACTGACCTCTGCAGTCTGTTAGGTGACCAGAGAGTAGGGAGGGTGGGCTGTGGGCACAGGACTGCAGAGAGAAACTTTGTTCACTTTCGTGCTGGGCAGGAAGAGGACTCAGAGGTGGAAATTCCCAGGTGCAGGATAGCTGGGCTTCACGGTTCTCTCCCATGGTGTGAGAGGAGAGGTCCTTTTGTTCCCTGCTTACTGGTGGAAAGCCTGT